TCTGCAGGTGTGAGAACTGCATCATTTCTGGATTAGGACAAAACATACTAATATCAATTGATGGGGGTAAATGGTATGAGGAGAAGGTTCGTGCTAACTTCATTCAGAAGAGCCCAAATGGACCCGATACAGCTGTCCGTTACATTTCCCAGCACTTACAATTACCTCCTTCTGGATGGAGCCCGTTCCCTTCCAATGAGATACCAAAAATGTTTAACTACGGACACATTTATCATCACATAATTGAAAGCCCCAAATTTATAAGCACTGACCTTGAACATCAAAGTGACTCTGATAGTGATGCCAATGACTCATTTGACGTTGGTACCGAAAAGCCAATGAGGAAAGGTATGGTTTTTTTCAAAAGTGGTCATGTCCAATCAATGATGAACTGTGTGAGTGAGGACAATGCTTATTTTTGTAAGTGCAAATGTATGTCATCTTTTGCACCTAAAAAGACATACGAGGTCAGTGTAAGTTTATCCAAAGACAGTGGATTTGTAAAAGGGGCTGCGTGCAATTGTAAAGCATCTGCTTTAGGAAGATGTAATCATGTGGCCGCGTTGTTGTTTGCAATACTGGATTGGACCAAGACAACCAGTGATAAACTTGCTTGCACATCAGAACCTTGTGAGTGGAACAGAGGAAGGAAGGATAAGGCACCCAAGGCTTTACATCAGGCAGAATATGAGAGTGTTGGTCTCACTGAGGCAAAAAGAAGAAAGAAAGGACCAGATGAAACGCTCAAGTTTGATCCTAGACCTGAAAGTTTGAGATCTGCTCCATCCACTGAACGGATTAACAACTTCCTCCAGAATATGAAGAGTTCCCTGAATGGTGAGAAATCAATGTGGGAGATCCTCATCCCCATTGAATATTTGGACTTCCAGGTCAATCCTAATGACACTGTTTTGATTGAAAACTGTAGGCAATTTCAAAATAGTCTCATCGTTAATCAGACAGATGTCACAGAAATAGTGAAAATACAAGGCTCAGATGAGTGGTTCCAAGCTCGGACCTTTCGTATTACTGCGTCTGTATCCAAAGATGTCTGCAATGCTGAAAGACTGTCTGGTCGTTCTCAATTCAACTTGTTAAAGCGCTTACTCTGGACTGACAACACCCAGCTGAATACAAAGGCCATCATGTACGGGAGGCAGAATGAACCTACAGCAATGCAAGAATACAAGAAACAGAACAGTCAAGTCAATATCAGAAACACAGGTAGGAATATTTTTTCAATGCATGTTATTTACTTTCGTTAAGTATTTTGGTTGTAGACAAAAAATTTGAATTGCAGTACAAAATGTTTCAGAATTATTTTACAATAGCATAAGAAAAATACAAATTAGTATGAAAAATAATTTTACACAAAATGTACACACATTTCATATAATTTCTACTTTCAGGTTTGTGGATCAACCCCAAGTACCCGCAGTTGGCAGCAAGTCCTGATGGTCTGATAGATGACCCATCAAATGGCGCTGGTGTCATAGAGATTAAATGCCCATACATACTGAAGGATAAAATCCTCGGTCAAGATGCATTTGAAAGCCTTACTACAAGCCAGCGGAGAAGCTTTTGCTGCACAATCGACGAGCATGGACAGTTTGTTTTGAAGAGGACTCACAAATATTTCTACCAAATCCAAATGCAAATGGGGATTACAGAGCGTGAATTTTGTGACTTTGTCATGTGGACCTCTAAGGGACTGAATGTTGAAAGAATATATTTTGACGATGATTTTTGGCTGACCATGGTGGGGGATCTTGTTCATTTTCAAAAGTACTACCTGACACGAGTACTTTTTAATGAGGGTCCCCAGAAAACTAATGCCAGTGTGTTTCAATAGTTACTGAACTACTCTCATGATGGCACAATAGGTTTCTGAAAATTCACTAGGCAGCAACACACAAACACCATCTGAGAAAAAACATGTTTTAGCGAAAGTGGGATTGTTTTTTGAAATATCCTGTATTTCTTCAGTCGCTCAATAAACCTTTCAACATGAATTCGACCCTTAGCAATTCTTTTAGTCTCCAATTCCTCCTGAGCAGTGAACTTGTCTCTACATGCTAAAAAGGGGGGAATGTTTAAATCAGCACCTTTCTCCTGTAATAAATCTTTGATGGTAAAGCCACGGTCTGCCATAACAAGATCCCCTGGATTTATTCTATCGAGGAAGCCTGATTGGATTGTCAACTCTCTGTCAGAGACACTCCCTTCAAAGGCATCAGAAACAAAGCTACATGATCCCTGAGGTGCAATGCCAATCAAGACTTTAAATGTTGTTTTAGCCTTATATGATGAATACATGTTACCTTGCTGTTGGAAATTGGTAGGGCTTTGAACAAATATTTCAGTAGCATCAATTATAACCCTCAAGTTCTTGAACCTTTTGAAACACTTGGGCATATTTTCCATTGTGATATCTCTAGTTGCAAACATTTGGTCTCGAAGACTGTCAAACTCATGATAAAGGAATTGGATCCAAGTAGTTGTACAACGAGACACATAGGAGGTACTGACGCCGAATCTGTAGGCAAGATCCTGTTGGAGAAGCCCTAATCGAAGCCGTACAAGTGTCATAAACAACTGATCCATTGGACTCAATTTCCTTTTTGGGCCTCTCATTTTTGAGGGTGAAGTTACATTCTTTTTCACATGCATATTCCAAAGAGTCAATTGTTCACGTGCAGGACCAAGAAATGTCCACAAGGCCAAAAACTGACTCCAAATCAATCCTGTATAGAAATTGCACATCTCATCATTATCACGCACACACTCAACATTGAAACTTGAGGAGGGAAGAGTTTGTTTCTCTGTCTTCAATAACTCCAGATCATTCTGTTGTATTTTTTGTTCTATTCTTTGTGACAACAGCTGTTTTGATTCACTTCTAGCAGTCTGGACTTCAGCATCTGCTTTGTCTGTTATCATTTGAGTAGACTCACTTTTTACAGAACAACAGGCCTGAATGCCTACAGAGTTAGTGGCACAAAAAACTTTGCCTGGAGATTCTTCAAGTGAGAGTTCAGTTCCACTTATACCCGAGATAGGCTCACCAACACATTCATCAGTCTCTGCATGCCTGCCAAAAAGAAAAGATTATTATTAGCTGAAAACTTCAGCCAAGGATTACACCAAATAAGTAATTTATAATAAAAAAGCTTTATCCATTTTGGTGAACCTAGTTGTTTATATGTATTTTTAAGAATGCATATACTTATCAACATGGTTTTGACTAAACTGAACTCCTCCAGCATACTATGCACGTGTGGGATCTCATTCATTCATTCATAACAAACACATGATATTTAGTCTTCAATTACAATCAACTGACCATGTTAGTATCAATATCAGCCTAGTCATTAGGAAATAGAATTTCAAGACTGTAGACGATAAAAGAAAGAAATACAAGGGTAGAAAACCTGGGCTTTTTTGGTTGAGACGTCCGTTTTGTTGGGAGCTTCCGCTTCTTTGAAAACTTGGCAACCTGATGCAAATAAAAGACAGAAAAGTTAAATATATACAGAACATACATTCAAACAGTGGATATTATCACTTCAATTAAATGTGTATTACTTTGAACCCAGAAAATAAACAGTGTATACTTAATTAAATCATCGGTAAATACAAAATATACTAATACTTGATACTATTTCTATTTGAAAGGGTATAACGTTACTTGTTAGTTTAATTCAAATAAAATTGTTAGCTACATGGTCTTTGCTATAACCATCATCTTCAAGCTTTAGCACTGACCTGTCCACCTTTCCGATGTGAATCTTTCATATCTAATCTGGTGGTGTAACGTTAATAATGTTAGCATCAGCTAACGCTAACAGCTGAGTTAACTTTTAGCCACGTTAGCCACTCTGTTGACAGCCTCCCCACTATATCACTAACTTTAACACCTAGAGTTTTGATTATTCATATAACTCGTTAACTTAGAGGAGCAGACTGCCTCAACATTTTGACACCCCGCAGGGACCCTTGGGGAAAGACAACAGCCCCGTATGCACATGATAGAAAGATGAGTTAAGCTAACGCCTAACCAGAGACTTACTTGTTCAGGGCCAAACGTAGCTGGGACTGGATCTGGATGCTCTTCGGTTGGTCCAGCTTCACCGACGAAGTGTCTCGAACAAATATATGTGTCCTTTTTCACATTTTGATGAGAGAAATTCATCCGACCACAAGCACGAACCCACCTCTTGCACTTGTCGATGTCATGGTGTGGCTTTACGAACGGGATGAATGTTACTGCTTTCATATAGTCCTTATCGGAGTATCTGGAATCGCTCCGACAAGTACCATAACTGCAGTGTTTTGTTGTCACCATGATTTAATGATATAGCCCACCAAAAAACGCGCACATGTGGAGAACACAGTAGAACTATACGGAGTTGTACCATAGACTGTATTGAGTCGTACACAATGGCTGTATCCGAATGTCCACACTATACCCTATATAGTGCACTATATAGTGGTCACGCCATTTTGTAGGGGTGTCCGAATGTCCAGAGAGAAAAAGTAGTGCACTGGAATTTTCCCACAATGCATCTCGAACATGTAGTGAGCAGCGATGGTCACTGGACGGAAGTAAAATGGCGGAGGCACAGAGAGACGAGCTGGACGCGGAGCGGGACATGAGCTCCAAATGTGAGTTTTTAATCATCATAAATATGTAAATGTGTAAACCGTGATATATTGTTGACGATAAGCTGCCAAAATACACATTTGAATACCATTGCCTTTTACTGCAAAACAACGTACCAATGTTATGCCGCAAAAGTGTTAGCATTTTCGCATATCATAACATTAACATCTAAAGCGAACGCTACAGAAACGGGTCACTGGTGGTCAGTCATTAATGTTATTAAAGCACTTGTGTTATATGTATAGCATTTATTGTGTGTTTAATGTTTTTAAAGGGACAGACACTGATGTGGAGAGACTCATCTGACTGCGGGTGAAAAATTTGCTTCGGCGGCTGGATGGGAGTATGACCATTATGAATAAATACTTATTCAAAAAACGTCTACTCATATTCAAATGTTTTTATGTATCGTTACTTTAGGGCAGTGATAAAGGAAATGATCACCCCTGCCAGAGCGGCCAAGAAGTGGGAGAACCTGAAAAAGACCTACAAGGTTTGTTTCTTTGAAGCTAATTTGTGAAGCATTTATTATACAAAACTCACTGTTTTAAGGAGCTCAGACAGCCACGGACAGGGACAGAAGGAGGGGAGCCCATCGCCATATCTTGGAAGTGGTACTCCCTCATGGATGAGGCAATAGGCAGCAGGCCATCCGTGCAGCCTCCCTGCCTGATTGCCTCATCCATGGGGGAGGAAAGAGGAAGAGGAAAGCAGTGTGGCAGCCAAGAGGCCGAGGAGGGAGAGTTGAATTAGTTTTTTGGAGAAGGTGGAGAAGAAGGAAGAGGAAAGGGAGAAGCGAGAAGAGGAGAGGGGAAGAAGAGAGGAAGAGAGAAAGGAGAGACTGTTGAGTTTGTTGGAGAGAAGTTGTAAATAGTAGATAAAAATGTATTTTGATAAGTGTAGTGTGAACTATATGCATATGGACATACAATGATGCACACTATTTACACACAAAAAATTTAATCAACTAGACATTTGTAAAGAAAACTATACATACATTCAACAATTTCTTTTTAGATATTTACATATTCAATTGTTTTTGTTTTTATTTAAATAGGCCAAAACACAGATTATTCAAACATTTAATTAATAGTCCCTTGGGGTGGAAAGTGCTGCTGCCATCCGTCCACGCAGCTCCTGTCCACACTGCTGATCAGGCTGGTGCTGCTGATGCTGGTCCTGCTCGTCATCAGGCCCTGGCTCCTCTTCCACTGGCTCCCAGAGATCACCATCGCTGATGCAGATGTTGTGCAGGATGGCGCAACAGGCAGTCACCTCGACTGCAAAGGTGGGTTGGACTTCCAGTGCCTTAAAAAAAATGGATCGCCATCTTGCCTTCATCATGCCAAACGCTCTTTCTGTTACAGATCGTGCCCGTGCATGGTGCCGGTTGAAGCGGGCTTCCACTGGGCTCCGAAACGGCTCTCTGTATGGAGTGAGGAGTGTGATGGGCTGACGGAGGCAAGGGTAGCCACCATCCCCAAGGAGGACGTGTCCATTTGGGGGATAGAGCCGGTGGACGTAGAGGGGGCTGTTTTTAAGCACTCGAGAATCGTGCACAGATCCGGGGTAGCCAACAAACAAATCAATAAATAAGCCACGGTGATTACACACAGCCTGCATTTGAATAGAATAAAACAATTTCCTGTTAAAATAACACTGTGCATTTTCTTGAAGGGGCTTTATTCTGATGTGGCAGCCGTCGATGCTCCCCACAACATTATTGAGAGCAGCTGATCCAGCCAGCAACTGAAACCCAGCTACAACTTGGGGAAGTTCCTCCAGGGAAGGGAAATGAATTATTTGGCCACGCATTTGAAGGATCTGGTTGGCCACCCTGTGGATCACATCGTGGACTGTGGACTGGGGCATGTCAAATGCCCTGGCGACAACACGGTACGCGGTGCCACTGGCCAACCAAAAGAGGAAGACCAAAACCTCCATGTCCTGGCTCCAGCCCTGGTGATGAGCACTCCTCAGGTGGCTAACCAGACGGGTGATGGTGGTTCGAGTGAGGCGAAAATCGGGGCGAAGGTCAGACTGGCCATTTAAGTACATGCTGAGTAGGGGTACATGGTGGTTCAGTCGGCAGTACACCCTAAAACAAAACAAAAATTTTCTTAAACTTAATATGATGCTTCTAGATTCATTTTTTAATTCTGTATCTGCACTTTTAGTTATGAGTGCAGACACAGGAATAAGTACTCATTTTTCATTTTGAGATTTAAAAATGTAAATAAAAATGAAGAGTATATAGCTGAAGTCATGTTCTTTTGTGCCCTGGCATTGATTTTGCCAAATGTATTGTGTGTTGCAGGGAGCTGGAGCTGCCCTGAGACAACTGAAGTAGAAACCCTCACTACATCACGCGCACCTAATAACACACAAAAAAATCACAGAAGCCCTGTGCCCCATGGCCAAGCAAATTCTATTATTGTTTAATGATTAAGTACTCATTTTTCATTTAGAAAAAATGAGTACTTAATCCATTTCCCGTGCTATGGTTTTGTGTTCTTTCAACCAATAAAATATTTTAATGTTCTTGCATTTTAAGTGAGTGTGTCTATACAATGTGTTTTCTTGTTGAAATATGTCTAAATGTATATGACTAATGTGTTTCTCATTGACTGAGAATAGTATTTTGAATTAGTAAGTACTATAATTTACCCAGTAGATGGTGCTAATGCTATATAGACAAAGGACGAATACAATACTTACACGACGCCTTGCTAATGAACGAAGAGCCCTCATCGCCTGTCTTCGCCTTCTCTCTGTTCGGCGGTGTTTAATTCGCATTATGATAACTTGTATAATAGTTATGAAAAACACCGCAAAATTCAGTGGAGGTGCCATTTCACCGGTGTTAGAGGAGCCGGTCAGGTGGCGGGAATATGAAAGACGTCAACCAAAATTCATAAATATGAATATAAATTGTAAAAACATTTTATACATGTATATTAGACAAATATTGATATTTTAATATACTTTTATTTATATATAAAATTATATTGATCCAATGACATCTGACAGGGGTGTGATGTGGGCCGCGGCTAAAAATAGTGTGCAGCTGTCCGAATCGCCAACAGAATGAGTGCACTGACTCACTCACTCAGTCGCTATATAGTCCCGAACTATATAGTGAGTGAGTGAATAGGGTATAGTGTGGACATTCGGATACAGCCAATGTTTGTCCGAAAGTTGCACGCATGCGCAGTCAGCGGATCTATTTTTAGCACATTCCGGAAACCAGACAGTGCCCTAGACCCACCGTGCCGCCCAGACAGGGCGGCACGGTGGCTGAGTGGATAGCACTCTCGCCTCTCAGCAAGAAGGTCCTGGGTTCGAATCCCGGTCGGACCAGGGCCTTTCTGAGTGGAGTTTGCATGTTCTCCCCGTGTCTGCGTAGGTTTCCTCCGGGTACTCCGGTTTCCCCTACCACTAAAAATATGTACAATAGTTCTGGCATATGCCTCCTGTACTGGCGACCCCGCTCCCATCTCTGTGTGGAGTGAGAGACAAATGCCCAAAATTAACAATTGTAAACCGCTTTGAGACTCTGATCTGCAGTGAAAAGGCGGTATATAAATAAAAACTTACTTACTAACTTACTATTGACAGGCTAATTGGTGCAGCATGTGCAGTGATGCGTGATGAGGGAGCGGAGTCTAAAGGCAATTGTCGTGCCCACCCTCACTTCTGCTCATGAGCTTTTGATTAAGATTAGATTGAGAAACCCTTTATTTGTCCCACATTGGGGAAATTTCAGTGTTGCATCACAAGTTATAGAACAGTAGGAATGAGGAGCACACAGCACAATAGCTATCCTCATTAAAATAAAACAAATTATTTAACTCTATACCTGCATAGAGTTGCATATCTGCATCAATAACAAGTATATAATCTCTATCTTGAAAATAATAAAAAGAGGTTTTTACATTTGGCAAAATAAGGGGCAATTATATAGTACTTTGTTTTCTAGTGCAAGGAATGTGTAGTTATATGTTAGCATTTATACATTAGCAGCAGTATGTTTACATCTGTACATGTTAGCAGCAGTATGTTTACATCCGTACATTAGCAGCAGTATGTTTACATCTGTACATGTTAGCAGCAGTATGTTTACATCCGTACATTTGCAGCACTAGGTTTACATCTGTACATTAGCAGCATGAGGCTCTGGGACACAGTGACTCAGTAAAGTGACAGTGACATGTGGTTATTGCACATTCTGATATCACGTTGTGATTTCGAAGCAGCCGTTTCACATGTAAGCGCGGCCCTCTCTCTTTCTGCTCCCCTCCCGCACTCGCAAAGCTTTTGCCCCCCACTCAGCCTGTGCTCATGTGCTGTTTACGGGGCTTGTGTCTCACAATATGGATCGCACATTTGAACGTGGATATTGTGACGGTCAAATGATAAAACCGGGAAGCGCGGAGGATGAGGCTTTCTTTCGTTTTGCTGTATTGGTCACCATTTGTTTTCGAAACAAATTCTCTTCCGCTATTCTATATATAAATTACACTCCATTACAAACCTGCACAACTTATTCTTCAAAAGTATGTTTATACCAATGCACTGCATGGATATGGATTGAATTTCCCGAATGAGTACAAAAATAAACTGAGGTAGTCCAGCTTTAAGGATATTTTAGAGACACATGACACGTGGGATTAAGTTAGCAGTGTTCATTAGTCCTTATTGTTTGTTGTACAGTCTGACAGCAGCAGGAAGGAAAGACCTGCGGAACCTCTCCTTCACACATCGAGGATGAAAAAGTCTGTCACTGAAGCTGCTCTCCAGCAGACAGACCCTAGGGAAGACCCAGAACACGTCGGAGGGACTATGTCCCTCAGCAGGCTAATGAACACCTTGGGATTCCGCAGATGAGCTGGAGGAAATGTGTTTAGAAAGGGAAGTCTGGCTGACTCTGGTTAGCTTGCTGCCCCTGCGACCCGGCAAAGCAGAAGAAAATGGATGGATGTATCTAATATGTACAGTATGTGCCCTTTAGGATGTGTTCACACACAAGATAATGTCTTCAGGAGAGTGTTTCAAAGGGTATCTGTTGATCTGAGGAATAGTTCTGACTGACTAGAACACAGTGCTCTCCTCTGACTGTGTTGAGTTTTCCCGTGATTGGTTGAAAGTGATCTTTGGTGGAAATGTGAATAGAACACACTGTATCTAGGAAAGAACTATTCAATAAATCACACGGACATGTGGCCGCGCAAAAGCTCTTTGGTGAGCTTTGCTCCGCATTAGGAGCTGTAGCTGTTTCTGCTGTAGGTCCATCCATCCATTTTCTACCCTTTAATCCATTTCTGGGTCATCAGACCCAAGTCTCATAGCACCAGCCCCTCACTGATCCTCTGCAGGTGGTGAGTCCACAGGAGGGCGGCTGCTCTCTGAGTGTGAGCATAGCCTTGATCTTTCAGTGGGGGCTTTGGGCAAAGTGGGGTTAAGTGTCTTGCCCAAGGACACAACGACAGCAGTCATCAGTGGGAGTCGGTGGAGAAGGTGCAGAGGTGGGAAATGAACCCACGACCTTCTGGCCTTAAGGCCAACGCTCTACCAACTGAGCTACTGCCGCCCCTTCTGCTGAAGGTGACGCGGGTTAAGTGTCTGCTGTCTAATAAGTACTGCCAGAATATTCCATGGGTGGGTGTACACTTAACCTACTGTACCACTTGGCTTTGAAGAGGCAGCCTTCAAACATCACTGTGACTATAAAACAGTTACTATTCTATGGGAGTGAGCGGGACATCTCGCTATTTAAATCTCTTCGGCAGAACCTCTGTAAGCCTTGCATGTATAAACTGATTTATTTACTCAAATATTGTAAATAACCACAACAAGTGGTTAAGCCGTTTGTTCTCAGATGTTTGCCTTATGTAACCACGGAAACCCATTTCTACTTCTATCGTAGGTATATTGCAGAATGCAAAATACTTGTGCATGAAGTAACAAGATGTTGCTTGATGTTTGCCCATGTGTGATTATTCTGTATGTGAGATAGTTTATTATAACTATAAGTTTGGCTTCCACATGTACACTAAGACAAGAGGAGTCTGTGCCTTCATGTAAACCATAGAGTATGGGTCCCCAAATGGTAGACTGCGGTCCAGGTCCAGACTCTGAGAGCCTTTTCTCTGGACCTCCGTGATTTGTTTTATTCAAAAGAACATTAATACAAGTATGTTAAATTTTCACCAAAAGCAATTTGTAAACAGGCAGGCGCGAGGGCGGCTGCAGGGTCCTGCAGAGTTATGGGCCTTCAGACCAGATCATGGGTTGCTGCGAATTTTAATGCAAAGTCAGTGGTGACGTCTGTTCAAGTGTGGAACTGCATCTGCGTCTTGGCACGCACGCACAAACTGTGCGTGCCAGAGGCGCTGGACCGGAAAATCGACGCACGCAGGAGATTAACATTGCTGAACTTTTTCCGCCGGTCGCACGAGCAGCGACTAATCAGAGAGTCGTTGATTGGTCGCAGGGACATTAGCGGTCTAGCGAACAGACTGAAAATACTCGTAAACAACCACAACAGGAGCTAAACCAGCACTAAACCAGGACTGACATTGGGGGACAGTGCTTGTGAACATTTGCCTCCAGCCTGAGTTCTCATGCTCCCTTGACTGTAAACAACTGCTAACGTGTTTGCTAATGTTGAAGTACTGTTAAATAATAAAAT